TGTATAGTATATGTATTAGTATATGTGTACTATGTGTATAGTATATGTATTAGTATATGTATACTATGTGTATAGTACATGTATTAGTACATGGTACTATGTGTATAGTATATGTATTAGTATATGTGTGCTATATGTATAGTATTAGTATATGTATACTATATGTATAGTATATGTATTAGTATATATACTATATGTATAGTATATGTATTAGTATATGTATACTGTATGTATAGTACATGTATTAGTATATGTATACTATATGTATAGTATAAGCCTTGCCTACGTCTTACCCTGCCACTCATCTTAGGTGAAATTCACCCAGATCCAGCCCATATTGCCCCGATAATGGAGGATACCCAGCAATGTATACATCAGGCCTCTCTCTGTGTCTCTGTCTCAACAGGAGAGTTTTCTCTGCATTTCTCGCAGGGTGTTCTGATCAGGAAAAAAAACATAGGAAATTAATTACCTGTAAGAGCAAGATCCTCTCAGAGTCCTTCCACTCACTCAGAAGCCCAAGCCATAAGCCAAGACCCTGAGTCTCACCCCTACCTACTGGAGTGAGGAGCGTAGCCAGAGACCCTTGAACAGGCCCCCACTGTCACAAAGAAGCTTCCAGCTTGCGACAGGCACAATGCAGCCTGTGTAGAGAAGTGCCACCACTGGGGTCTTCCAGAGGGGCCCGACTGCATCAAGGCTGGGTTAAGATCTGCAGAAAACAGAGTTGGTGAGTGTGGCAGCTGCCTCCATCTGTGGAAGAGCCACGATCTCCCACAAACTATGGGCACACCAGGGTCTGGTGGGCAGTCCCACAGCAGGCAAAGGGAGACAGAGCCACCAAACACTGGCAGTATCGTAAGCAACCTTGCCTGGATACATGCCCAGTATTTCATGGGTGCCTTGAGGACAGGGGTAGATGGTGAAGTCCCTGACCATGTCTTCCCTTAAAGAAAAGGAGGAAGGACTTCACTCTGGCTCATAACCTAGTATGACATGACAGAGGTGCTCCCCTAGTCTTGATAATCAAGGGACCCCAGCTTGAGTCCCCATTGAGAAGGCAGGAAAAGCTGGGCAAGGCAGGATTTTCCCCACCCTTGATTCACCCCCAAGACTCAGGCCAGGCAGTCTACTGTGTGCCAGAACCTCTAATGTGCTGAAGTCTGGACTCTCATCAGGGTTCACTTTAAAGAAAAACAAAGGTAACATGCTGGTGTTCCAGAAGGCCACCGTGGTTCCACACATTTACATTTACTGTCCTCTTCTTCTTTCTGTGGCCTTGGGCACATGCACACTGATGCGGCTGTTTCCATTTCACAGCTGAAGACGGTGGCGGCCCAGGGAGTTTAAACACATGGCCAAAGTCACCCAAGTTGTCCTTAGCTCTGTGATTTCCCCGGGTCTGATCCCAGGCAACTTGGGCCCAGAGGCTGTTCTTTGAACACCCACACTGAATTTCAAAATGCATTCCCCTAAAAGGTAATTTATGGCATCAAGAATGTAGCTTGGCTGTCACAGTAGCCCTCTGCTCCACCAGGACGTGAGTGCTTTGAAGCCATTGAGGACCAAGCCTTGGGCAGCTGTGATTTACGGTGCTTCTGGATGAGGAGTATTTCCCCACTGAGATAACTCCAAAACAAGGATAGAAACACAGGCTGCATCTAGATAGAAACACTGTGAGAAAATTTCAGATGAGGGGGACAGTTAAAGCATACACAGAGGCCTGGAGAGCACAGGAATCAGAATGAAGACCACAAGACTGTCTCTGGCTTTGGTGAGGATGAGCAGAGAAGTCTGGTTGATAAGATCATACCAAGGCTTGGCTGGGTCACAGCACTCAAGAAATACCCAAGTCGTCTCTTCCATTCGGCTGTGTTCCAGAGTCATATGGCTGGCCAGAAGGAGGTTGGCACTGGGTTGGGTGTCTGCCGCCTGGTGCTACAGATGGCCATGGCACAGTGCCCCAGTGGTACCCCATAGGAAAAGACCTGGGTGTTCTGGAACCTGAAAGCTCAACTTCCTGATGAAGCAAGAAGGAGCAGGAGCTGAAGCCATCCAAAATATTGACTTTGGCAAAGATCTCAGTATCCCCATCAAGATGCTTCTCAAGAGGAATGTGATGGATTTTCTGGATAAAGGAACAAGATGGTCAGTGTGGAACAACTGTGTTGTCATCTCTGGTGCCTAGGAGCTCCCTAGTGCTACCAAGTGTGCTGTGAGGCCCCTGCCGCAGACCATCTACATTTGAGAATTGGCTGCCAGGCTGGGGCATCAGCTGTCCTAGACATCCAGACCCATCCAAAGTACAGTCTGCACTACTGCAAGCCTAAAAGAGGCCACGAAGGCTTTGTTACAGAGTTTTTCTAGACACCCCTGGCTTCTCACTATGAGACTGTAAAGGCGGCTGTCTGACCTTCACTTATGTGGCCGGCCCCTCATGCTGTGGAGTCTAGCAGGCACCATACATGGTTTATCTTGCAACACTTTGTGAAAGGACACTTTCTATGCCCCTGTAGGGCTGGAGATCCTTGTGGACCACGGGAGCACAGATGCCCAGGACTGGAGAGTGGAGCCGCTCTGGTATAACGGCAAGTTCTACAACAGCCCAGAGGAACTGGCTCAGAAGTATGCAGACGGAGAAGTGGACACGGTGGTCCTCGAGGACCCGCTGTCCCATGCTGAATTTCCCATGTCTGTCAGCAGGGTTGGCCCTCAAGTGGTCCAGCCCAATGTCCCCTGCTACAACCTACAACACAACACTGTGCTCTGCAGACACTGTGCTTTTCTTTCCATCTGCAACCCTCTTCTGGGCTGCAGATCTTTAATGTGCCCTTTCCAGGTGAGGGTATCACCTATGAGACCAGCATGCAAGCAGCTGTGGCACTGTATGGAGGACACACTCCTGCAGGCATGCAGATCGAGTACATGGATGTGAGCTGGGGCCTGAACCGTGTCAATTGCCAGTTAACCCCTGCATTAACTGGTCAGACACAGCCACTTTTCTGGATGCCCCTCTACTACTACGACACTGAGTACCCCATCCCTTCTCCAGGAGCCCCTGTGTCTTTGAGATGCCTACAGGGTGTCCCTTAGACAGCAATTTTACTCCAGGTTTACAGAAGTCTTCTGTAGTTGGTTTGGGGGGGGGTTGTTTGTTTGTTTGTTTGTTTGTTTTACTCTTTGGGGGCCCACCACCCAGCTCCCACATAAATACATGGAGCCTTATTCTTCCTTATGAATGCCTGGCCTTAGCTTGGTTTGTTTCTAGCCAGCTTTTCTAACTTAAATTTTCCCATTTCTCTTTAACTATGTTTTGCCTCTGGGCTTTTCACCTTTCTTTTTATAACTTCCTTTCCTTCTTACTCCATGGCTGGCTGTGTGGCCGGCCCCTGGCGTCCTCCCCTCCTTCTCCTTTCTTGTTCCTCACTCTCTTTCCTAGATTTCTCCTGTTTATTCTCTCTGCCTGCCAGCTCCTCCTATCCCTCTCCTGCCTAGCTATTGGCCATTCAGCTCTTTATTAGCCCCATCGGGTATTTTAGGCAGACAAAGTAACACAGCTTTTCAGAGTTAAACAAATGCAACACAAAAGAATGCAACACATCTTTGCATCATTAAACAAATGTTCCACAGCATAAATGAACGTAACACATGTTAAACTAACATGCCACAGCAGGCTTCAACACCTATGCCAGGCTGAAGGGACTCACAGCAGTGCTGGGGACAACCTCAACAGTCTACAACTGGAACTATATATGGTGATATTTTAATTGTACTGAAATGTGATTTTATTTGTATGTTAATAAATAAAGTTGCCTGGGGGTCAGAGCTAATAGCAAGCCATAGCAGAAACTGGGCGGTGGTGGTGCACACCTTTAATCCCAGCTCTTAGGAGGCAGAGCTAAGCAGATCTCTGTGTGTTCAATCTCAATACCAACCATAGAGGACCTGGAGGTCTGCACAGACAGGCAGTGACGAGGAGGTCATGTGGTTGGGTTGACAACCAATGAGAAGGCAGAATAGAAAGTCAATAAAAAGCACAAACACACAGGAAGTAGGTCTCTTGCGGAGAGGTAGGATAGCAGCGGCAGTGAAGGGTAAGGTTTTTAATCTCAGCTCTTAGCTATTGCTCTGACCTCTTGGCTTTCATCTCTGAATTGGCTCTGTGTTTCTTATTTTAAAAGACGGTTACATCTATACTATATATTCTACCCTAAGGAGTGGCAGAGGCCTAGATGCACTCCGCTGCCTACAATCCTGAGGGGCTGGGCCCAGCACCCACTTGTACGCCCACTTACTTAGAAATATCTACTCCCACCTAGAGCACTACTGAGTTGGCCTGGATGTGGCAGGCAGGACTTGAGACCAGGCCCTCTCAACCCCCCAGCTGCTTCCCACTGCTAACTTCACCCACAGGGGACAAAACTGTGACCTAAAATCACAAGTACTTATTCAGCCTTCTTCCATTTGAAACAAAACATCACACACATGGGAAAACGGTGGCAGTGAATGGTACCCTAGGGTCAGCCTGAATGGGAGGTGTGCGTCCACTCTTGGGGTGAGTGGGGCAGTGTATAGATAGGGTGGGGAAAGGAAGTGCCACGGGGCAAGAAATATTCGCTGCCTAGCAGTTTGCGATGGTCTGTGGCACCATCTGGGGGGCTCAGCATGTTTCTTAGGTAAAGGATGGCACCACTGAGGGATGCCAGGGCTGTTAGCTTGTCATCAAATCTCAACAGAACGTGGCCACGGGGACCAGGTGAGCAGCTTCCTCGGGATCAGTCCCACTTGGCCTCTGTATATCCACAGTTGTCAGGACGTCAGAAACACAAGCTGCCTCGGCTCCACGGTTAAAATCCCATCAAACAGACTGCAGCGTGGCTCCCTAGGAAACCAGCTGCCGCCACACGAGACTGCCACGGTTGCCGTCATTTACTCATAAACTTTGCCCAGCTCCTCCGGGATCTGTTTGTTTAGCTCCCTGCGCACACTGCTGGCCCAGCTCCTGTTCCCAGCTCTGCTTCTTACTGGCAGCTGGCCTGGACACGGTCTGCGCTGGAGATCCCTGAGCCCAGGTGGGAGGCTTCTGTTCCGGTTCTTGCCCCCAACCCCATGCCTCCAGGAACCAAGACCAGCTCCCAGACCCTGCAACTTGAAGACGTCACCAAACTCTGGTGCGTGAGGCACCACCTGGTTCCCACCCACAGAGTAGTCTCTGGAGTGGCCGGAAGCCTTCTGCTTCAAACAGAAATGGCACCAGTTTCTGCTTTTCAGAAACCCCTGAAAGGACATCTGGGGCCTCAGGTGTAGCTTCTCGCGGCAGACCCGCTTCACAGGGGAGCAAGCGGGGCAGGGGACCCAGGGAGGCTGGGACAGAGACGGTGGCTTTGTTCAGTGATGCTTGTCATCTCTGTTTCTGTACTTCAGGCCCTGTGTGCGTGTGCGTGTGTGTGTGTGTGTGCGTGCGTGCGTGCGTGCGTGCGTGCGTGTAAGTGTGTGTATGTAGGGGTGAGTATGTGTCTGTGTGTGTGTATCTGTGTGCACTCAGGATGAGATGGGAGTGGAGGCGCTCACACAAGGTTCCTGGCCCTCACATGGCAACAGGGAGTCTTACAGCCATGGGAAAGATAAACACTCCTTGTGGACACAGCAAATTTCTGACCCTGGGCCTTGAGAATATTCCTTGGGAAGGGTTCAGAGGCAACCCCGGTTTCCAGAGTCACTCTGACTTCAGGTACCCCTAGCAATCATCCAAGTATTAGGAGTCTGAGCACTCTATAAGCGGCCTCTATGAGCAGTACAACCCTGGGATCCCCCCATGGCCCTCAAGGCTTTCATTCAGAACCATGAAAATATTAATGGTGAGGTGCACAACCTGTACTCCTGCCCACCTCTGTCCTCCTCACTAGCCTGTACCTGGACAGGTGCCAGGATTGTGACTGGTTAAACGGAGGACAAGTTCAAAGGTCGATGACACAGAGGCCTACCTCTTTTAAATGGCTGAGGCCATCTCAAGAAGTTTACAGACACATCTAAAAATGTCCCAAGCCAGAGTGCCCTCAGGTGTCTAGTACTCAGCACTACCTTACCCTGTGGAGTCTGTGTCTCTTCCGTCAGATTTGGTGGCCTGGGTGACAGTGGACTTCCTGCACATCCTGGATTCTAAGGATGTCTCCAACATGGCTATACTTGGGAACTCCACAGGCTTCCTGCTGCAGCGTTTTGATATCCTCCATGGCATCGAGAGACACCCAGACACATTGACTGCAACTACATCAGGCAGTAGATCCCTGAAGACAGAGCCTGCCTGGTGCCCTCCTTTCCACTCCAATGAGACCTACAGTCCTGTGCAAACAGTCTGGCCCTGGATCCTGCCTAATAACCCAGGCCGCCACAAAGACAGACAATTAACCCTTCAACTTCCACTGTGATGCTTCTTAGAGCCAGAGAAGCTGTGAGCCACGTAGTCAAGTGGGCAGGTCATGGGCTCCATTCCTATTATACCCCCAAAATATCTCCATGACCAGGGCAAAGGAAACCCACTGAATTCTCTATCCGATGAGTTTTTCACTATCTGGAACTTTCAGCTCCCTCTCAGGGAGGCTACAGGGGAATGTTCCACCTGAGTGATGGCCATGGAAAAGAAGACTGCTACGGTAAACCTATCAAATTAGCAACACTCTCATCCGTTGGCCCTTGTTCTGCCATCTCCAGTTTACCTCCGAGAACGTTCTACAAACACGTGAAAACATGTGGGCTTCACTGCAGTACTGTCTGTAACAACAGAAGTCTGGAGACGGGCAGCTTCCCATCTGCAGGGAAGAACAGTCCGATAAATTAGGGCACCGCTGCAGAGTGGTACTGAGTGATGGAATGTGTGTGAATGAGTGAGGACAGTCTGTGGACTGCAGGGAGACCCTGCAGAGCCTATTAAATAGAAGAAAATGACAGATAATAGTGTGTATAGTGCTCTAACTTCTGTGTAAGAATAAGAAGAGAAGGGGCTGGAGAGATGGCTCAAGCCTAAGAGTACTTGCTGCTCAGGCAGAGGACCTGATTCAGTTCCCAGCACCCACACTGGGCAGCTCACAACTGCCTGTAACTCCAGCTCCAAGGGATCCAGCACCCTCTTCTGGCCTCTGTGGTCATTGCACTCACATGTGCTTACACACACATATACACAATTTAAAAGTAAAAATAAATCACTTTAAAAAAAAGGAATGGGAAGAGACTAAAATCTATTTTTTCAGGAACCGGAGGTAGAAGGCACTTAGGTACCTTTGAAAAGCTCAAAAGGATAAGGAATCTGGTTTTCTTCTCCTGCCTCCACTAGAGACACAACCCTGAAGAACCACAGAGCTGGAGCTGGAACAATGCTTCGGTTGTAAAGTCCTGGCTATGCAAGCAACATGATCTGAGTTCAGATCCTCAACACACATGTAAAGTTCAGCACTGTGGCCCATGTTTGTAACTCCAGCACTGGCTCCAGAACAGGCGGAGACAGGGAGATTCTGGAGCTCAATGCCCAGCCAGACTAGCAGATTCAGTGAAAAACCCTGTCTTAAAAACTAAGGTGGACAGTAAGAAAGGCTTATAGCACTGACCTCTGCTCTCACTGTGCACGTGTTCATTTGCACCAAAATAGAGTGAGGAAGACATGGGGCAGAAAACGGGCTAGTTGGGGAAGGAAAATGCATTAGGAGAAGTAGAAATGCAATAAGAGAATCCATAGGTAGACCCACAGTGACCAAAAGGCATTATAAGAACCTGTGAAAACCCTGTGTGAAACCCATTATGATGCATGATGTAATGTGTTGTGGGAAATTTGTTTGTGTTGCCCCTCCAAGATTGCCAATGGAGTCAGACTTTGGTTCAAAGGGCAGAGTCCACACTAAGCTGGCCAGAGTGGGCCATAGAGTTTTCTGATGGAAAACCCTCAAGCAGACACAGCGTTCCTTATACTTCACACTCTGCCCTGCTGTTCTTCAACAGCCTAGAGAGCAGCTGGGGCTGCGGACACGGCCTCCACCTGCAGATCTTCTCCTCTCTGAGGCACGGCTGCCCCGTGCTGACAGGAGGAGAGGGCTGTCACCTGGGATTGTGTGTGCGTGTGCACTTCTGACATCGCTGAGTGTGTTGGCCTGCATCCTCATGCACTCGGTGAGGGAGGAAAGGACCAACAGGACTCCTGGCCCTGGGACGTTGAGAATCAGCCTTGCAGACGTCAAGGAAGTAACCATAACTCTGGGAAAGCGGTGACTTTGCCATCCTTGGCCCTAAGGCTGTTCCCTGGGAAGGGCTGCGAGTCAACCCTGGTGGCCAGAGGTACCCGGCTTCTTCTCGGAATGCAGACACTCCCTGGCAGTCACCAAGTACCAGAAGTGTGGGCACTGGAGCAGCAGCATCCACAACCATAACAAACTTTCGGGTCCACTCATGGTCTCTGGGGAATTCACCCAGAGCAATTCTGCCCCAAGCCAGAGTACTCTGAAGTCACTGGTTCTCCACACTGCCCTGCCTGCTGCGTCCTGTGTCTCTCCCGTGGGATGTGATGGCCTGGGTGACAGTGGGCTTCCTGCACATCCCTGAGGATGTCCCCGGTGCTGCCACAGTTCCAGACCTTCAACTTTCTTCCGGAGTACCCACCTATGACCTCCAGAAACCAAAGTCACAACCATGCCCAGCACTGGATCCCTGAGAACAGGGCCTACCCCCTTTCAGCTACAATGGGACCTACAATCAATCCTCCGTGAGGTTCCCAGCTCCAGACTCTACTGAATTGTTCCAGAGATCCACATGGGCAAATAATGAACCCTTCAGCTTCCTCCATCGCATGCTGCTACTTACAGATTGTGGAGGGTGTGCACCACGTACGTGGATGGTTATGGGTTCCACTCATGTTTATCACAAAAAGGCTTTCATGACCAGGAATTGTAGAGTCCTGTCTCCCCGGCAGAACTGTCATCCTCATGGAAGCAACTGGGACTGCTTGCAAGAAACCCTCGAGATCGGGCCCATTGCTTGTTGATGGTCCTTCAGAGAAGATGGGAGTAGTCAGGGTCATTGGGCTCTCAGCTGAGATGCCGTCCACTCCCACCTGCACCCTCCAACAAGCTATGTATAATTCTTCCTAATTACACCTGGCCTCACGACCTCAGGAAGCTCTAGAATACAGTGTGGGGGGAAGGTTAAGGTGGAGACTCCATCTGTGAAGCTATGGGGAAGAAGCCACCCATGCTGGGGTGAGGCCCCTTACCCACGCCCTGAAAGTCTACTAAACCCAACAGCTCCCCAGCTTGGACTCTGGTAGAATCGTGCTTTGGTCTGTCATCATGGCTCTATCCGGGGAGCGGCAAGTGTTTGCTTCCCTCTCCCCAGAAAA